AGGTACTGAAAGCAACCGGGACAAACGGTCAACATCATGGACCCACCACTAACCATACCCGAACCCCAACCCGAACCCGATTCATCCTGGCCGTTCGCTGGCTCCTTTTCAAGAGCGCGCTTCTTCGAGGTCGAATGAGATCCGATCGGTTTCGGGTTCGGATTTGGGCTCGGATTCGGGGCCCGCATGGCGCGCTCGAGGGCGGACTTGACTTTTTCTAGAGTGCAAACGCTGGCGAAGGAGGGCGCTGGAGGTGGGGGCAGATTAAGATCGTGGAGCTCGCGGGACACTGGACCGGATTTGAGCTCCTGAGAGCAGTTGGAATTTGTAGACTGCTCAAGGAAAAAAAAACAGTGGGAATTTTTGTTAATCTCCTTTCCAAGAAGGAAATCCAATTTAAATCGGGCAAAAATTGAAAATTTAAATTTTATTAAACCATAAGGTTAATTAAAATAAATCTACTTCAATTCATCTATGAGAATCATTTACTCTAAAAATTCAGCAAAAAACCCGCTTGTCCATAAAGTTCAACAAGAAAACCTTCTAATCTATCGCTTCAATAAAATTTATAAGTATTCACGGTAAAATGATGTGGACAGTTTGAAGGTTTCAATACGGCTCTCACTATTTTAGATTCGATTCGGATTGGATTATTAAAAAAACAAGATTTTTGATTTTATACAAGGTCTTCAAAATTAACAGATTGTGAGAAGGGAAAAAAACTAATTTTCAGACAATATGAAAATATAAATATTTACCATTAACCGTTAATTATATAATTATGCCTCTCTGAACAAACAGAACTCCATTGGTTTCATTAATGATTGTAGATGAGTGGATAATTTTTACACTTCATCGAGGGGCTTCCCTCTAAAGACGTGGTACAACCAAGAGGATTTCATGCAATTTCAAAAGTAAAGAAAATGCTTTTAAAAAAGCAAACAAAAAAAAAAGATCGATTTATTTGCAAAAAAATCATAATACTCAGAAGTAAATTAACAAGAAAACCCATCAAGATCTTGACATGAGAAGTTGAAGAAAAATAAATCAAGAGAGTATAGAGATTACCAAAGGCTCGAAATTTTTCTCCCAGTGCTCCTTGTCACCCAACAAATCCCTGGTCACCAGCTCCTTCTTCTTCTCATCCCCATTTATCCCAGTGCTCACATCTGCCGCCATTAATTAATGAAACCCAAGAGAGAGAAAATAAGAACAGAGTAGGGGTTTAGAGAGAGAGAGAAACAGAGGGCGGAGAGAGAGAGAGAGAGAGGCGGTTGGTAGAGAGGACAAGGACAGGATGAGAGAGGAGGGGGCTATTTATAGGTGGTTTAAGATTTTAATTTTACAACAAGCATTTATTGGTGGAAATCTTTGTTTGAGGGGGGGAGATGTATATTTTTGAGATTAAATTAATAAGATAATTAGTGCAAGATGATTCCATGTTATTTGCTTCATTATCTAGATGGGAAGGTCTTTATTGTGAGTTCAAGGAATCTAGGGAAGGAGGGGGGAAGTAATGAGAGGACACACAATATGTGTGTATAAATATGTGATTTATTTAATATGGTAGTTATTTATTATTTTATTTCAAATAATTTTTATTGTATACCAGAACTTTCTTGCGTATGAGCAACGCGTCTTGGAACATACTGGGAGGGTACGGAGGGCAATTCAGATATTATAGATAGCTCCTCTAAGATTTACTACATCCTACTAATATGAAATGATCTGATATGGTTTGTATATTTTTATACGGCGAGGTTTAGTTTTGATGAACGCATTTGAACCCGCTTGGGATTATTTTATTGGTACATATCATGATTTTGTATAGGAATATTTATATTTGTTGGAAGATTAGAAATTTTTACAATGAAGGTTTATAAACGAGTTAACCATATTTTTGTTTTCATAAATTGAGCAAATATAGGGATATTTGCGCTTTAGCGTTCCAATATTACACGCGTTTTTAACTCTGATACCCTAAAGTTTTTTTCTTCTTCAAAATTTTGGTTCCCTAAAGTTTTGAAAATAACGCTAACTTGACAATATAATGCCCAAAAATTCTAGCTTTGCCCCTCACTTTCTGCAAACTCTAATAATAATAATAATAATAATAATAATAATAATAATAATAAAAGGTGAGCAGAGTGTTTCTCGTTCACTTTCCTAATATTTATATTATTGAACAAAATTGATGTCGGCCCCTTTGCACTTTGGGTTATAGATAGTCAAATTGAACCTGATCAAGCTAAGAAAGAGTGAAACTTTAGAATATTTACACGCGTATATAGGCTTTGATTCACACATCGCAGCTCATTTTTTGCTCACGCAGACCGTGGCAGCATAAATTAACGCATCCATTTCAACGCATAACTACGAACTGTTGGAGTTGCTCAGAACGAGGGTTAATTGGTGTGTTGCCGGTGAAGCTATTGTTATTAATATAGCAAGCTAACTTTCATGAATAAAGTGTGTACTTGCTGTAGCCAGGGATGTTTTTGGGTGTAATATGTACATCCCTCTTCTGTCAGTGGGAGCTAGGCACTTCTATTATAAGAACCCGTCTGTTTTCATGTATAACATCATTTTTAGAGTTGTCATTTATGATCATCGGTTCATGTTAGTCTAAGGGATGTAGACTCAAAGCTCGAATCAAACAAATTGTTGGATAGCAGGCTTCCTAATATGTTTTGGTAACATGATTCTTAATCTGTTTTGGTAACGGATTGTTAGGATTCCTAACTTGTTTTATTTTTTGGTTTTAGAACTCCTAGTCTGTTTTGGTTTTAGGTTTTCTATATATACGGAACGACTTAGAAGAGATTAGACATCAGAAAAAAAGGGTTTTGAGAGAATTCTTCAGAGTGATCTCAGAGAGATTAAATCTTATTTGTGGGCATTGTAATATTCTTTAATATTAATCAAAGAATTATGTTGTGTGGCTCCCGAGGACGTAGGCACGATTGTCAAACCTCGTTAAAATCTGGTGTGTTTTTTCTTGTTTACTTTCCTGTAATTTTTTTTATCTTTTATTTGCTGTGATTTTCCTACTTTCCTACTTTTAAACACAAGACCTAGAAGGGTAATGGTTCGATTTGATTGTTTCGAATCCCCAACAGTTCAGTGGTGAAAAAACATTCGAGCCATACACATGTTCACTTTAGTCCATTCGATGCATTTTTTTCACAAAGAATGCCCCAGATATTGATTGTATACGCGGGGGATTTTGGGATGGCTTTTGCACAATTGGTTATTTAGCCTCAGTTTATAATATTGAGATTTTGGGATGGCTTTTGCAAGTGCGCACTGTGTTGGGATAGTTTCGTAGATATATGCATATATTATTTGCAAATATGAATATCAAGGGGTGTCTAAGACCCGGCCCGTAGGCTTTTAACTAGCTCGGCCCGATCGAAAACTAGATCTGAACGCAAATCATGAACAATGACTCAATTATGAATTGAAATTTATTTTGTTCTAAATATAAATAGCCAAATAGGCAATTGCCAATTTCAGCTTTTGTAAAAAAGGGAAGAGCAAGGGAGTAGCCAGAGCTTGCTTGCCCTGGGCAGCTGCCCAGGGCAAGAAACTCCGCCTCTCCCACGACCTCTCCCTCCTCCCCTCACTTCCCCTCCTCTCCCTCCATGCACTTAACCTCCCTCTCCCACAGATCCAACATCATCTCCCTCCTCTTCCAGGACCTCCATCTCAACAATCCCCAGCCCTCCTCCCTCTCCCGCGCCTCCCTCCTCTCACCCACGACATACTCGTAGACCATCTTTATTTTTCGCCCAGGGTAAAAAATAATCCTGGCTACGCCACTGCGGAAGAGGATCCAGATCTTCCTACGAGTACTTCGTAAAGATGGGTATCATCAACTACATAAATATTGAATAAAACTCTTAGATGGCAGATAGAATATACATTTTTAGCCCGTCATGTAAATTATTTCTTGTATCCATCCGTCTAATAAATGTCAAATACTTGTATATATTTGGATGTTGATTTGAATATTACCGGACATCACAAATCAAAAGGAGTCCGTGTTTATTTCAACATGATGTTCAGGTGCGTATATGTCACATCAACCATCATCCAAGCATTGCCATGAAGAGATCATGCATAAACTTTACATGATTAATTTGTGAATATACCATCATGTACTCATTAATGTATCTTATACACGTACTTGTCGTGCTTTAATTAAACAACCACCGCACGCAATTAATCACCACATTAATTAGCCCCAACCCTTTTAGCCATCACGCAGTTGGTTAATAATTAAATTGACGAGGTGGTAGGATCAATTAATAAGAGGCTTAGGTGTTTGTCCTCCACGTGGGCTACTTCCTGTTGTGAAACCAATTGCACTGGGCAAGACTCACACAGTAGCATGCTTTTATGGTGAATGATGCACGAGATCAGGAGCTGTGCTTAATGTTCATGGACTCGTTCACTCATCCATTCAAGCCGTAAAAAGCTTTTATAAAAGATAGGTTACAATTACGTCAATTTCTCCATCAAAATAGTGACAGTGGAATATTATTGGTCACATTTTTAGCTAGCTAGCTAGCTTATTTTCTTGGGCTAACTATTTTGGGTAAGCGAAACAAAAAGTTCACTATGTTTCATTGAAAATAAACTAATGATGTTGGGATTATGTCTTTGATTCTTTGTATA